TTTCTGACACTACCACATAAGACTTAACCCGTTAGGGACAGGTTAATATTTGAATAATTCGCCTTTGTGCATTTGCCTATTAATAATGTGTTATGAATATTAATACTCTCGACACAACTGCGTAACAAGTTAAATTATGGTTTGTTAAGTTAAGTTAAGTAGGTACAGATTGATATTTGAACAACAGTCAGGTACCTACTTATATTAATATGACATGGTTAAATATAAGGTAAATATCTGGAGATAAATAATAATATTGATTTAATATCTTATTGAAAATAACTTTTAGTTCTAAAACTAATGATATTTAATCAAGCGCAAACCAACAGAATTGAGTGCACGTACTACATGTACCATAATAATAATTCTACTAATGTAACATTAATTAAACTAATTAATCATAAACTAAATGTAATAAATAATAATTACGAAATCTTGATTGTATTATGCTAACGAATGATTAGATATTAGGGCTTAATTTTATTATAAATGCAGATAGAATTAGCTTAAAAGTGAAATAAAGTGTAACTAGTATATTTTGAGAGTAATACAAATTAGTTAATCATAAACTATGACCATAACCGATGTTCGTCTGATAAATCAGATAGTTAAAATATGCACAAAGAGAAAACTACAAGTTCTAACAAACAAAATATCACTGGCCTGCCTAGCATAGATGTTTGATACTCTACTATTTTGTTGGGAATTCGATTTTCATCTGTACATTTTGCATAAAAAAACAAAAGTTATAACCTTGGTGCACGGTAACATTATTTTGTATGTGTAACATTGGTGCATGAAAATACAAAGATTGTTAGTAAAAAAAAAAAATAAATAAATAAAGTTTGTGTTAATAAAATATAGGGATCCTTGTACCGTATGGTGATATCAAAGTTAGACATTTCGAATATTTAAGAAAATATTTATATTATTATTTACCTACTTAATATTTCATATTTCAAGATGTTACATAATACACTCAAGTCAATAATAATTTTAAGATAACTTTTAGTGCCATTCTTACAATGTCGGCTTAAGTGTCGTCCAACGCTAACAGACTGATAACAGATTTTATTACCATCAGAATTCCACCAGTTAAATGTCCTTTAACTTTAACTAGAGATGGTAAGAACGTCCTTTAAGGGAACCTAAACACTAAGAGAAACAGTTCTACAGAGAAGCATCTATTACCCTTATCCAAAGGTGAGCTTTCACAAGTTAAAAGGTTAAAAGTTAAGTCAATTTTTACTTATTTATTGTTAAAGTTACTTGTTTGATGTCACGCTAACTTTATATTAATTTAAATAATTGGCATCTACGTGGGCTAAATTCAACTTTTATTTTTTTTAATGTTTCCAATTTTCATTTTATCCAGAAAAATATTTTTATATATTACTGTTTATAGTAATTTTAAGCTTGTAAAATGTTGAAAAACAATATTATGATTTTCATATTTTCGTATTTAATTTATAGATAATAATTTATCTAATTAATAATACCTAACAAATTAGTAATGACAATAACTAATGGGAATTAATATGCTTAGAGAAAACATTAGTTAACCGTACATAAAAACTATAATAGCCAGAAGACTACGAATTGTATTTATGAATTATAATACTTATTTACACGATACCAGACAGCGAATCACCAAACCTTGCCACTCGTGCATATCGTTGATTACTAGAGTGGTCGGGAAAACACAGTGTTATCTCAATAGTTGTCTAACTAGAAACCGCGGTACACCTCAAAGTCTAACCACCAACAACCGATTGACAGAATCAACTCACACGCTAGAGTACCGTATCACCATGGTTGCCTACACCGAATATTCCGTGGTGACGGTTGGTTACCTAACCGCATCACATCCATAATATCAAGACATGTTTCAATGGACCGGTTCGTGGGCGAACACCAACCGTGGGATCGTAGATCATAAAATACGATCAAGTCACGAATCACCATTGAGATCGACTGAGAGTCAATAGAAAAAATTTCAACTCACATCCTAGATAACTAAGGACAAATCGGCTACAAAGGGGAGTTTTTTTTCAGAGCTACCAAACTGTGACCCACCTCTCACATTTGATCGTCTTACGAACCTACGGTAGTCACCTCCGCAACTTGTTTACGCGAGCAAGGGACAAACAACGGCCCCAACATAACATTGAAAGCCGAAACACTGCTTTCCTGTGATTGTAAGTTATAGGGTTAGGCTCTTGGGATCATCGCCCTTGTTAATCATCTGATCAGGTATTGCAAACAGGAGTTGACCTCTATGTCCCATATGTGTATGTATAGACGTTTATAAATAATGGCTTTAGATATAATTATAATAAATTCTAATAACCATTAATATATATTATAAATGAATTGTATTCCTTTAATTTAATTATTTATAAAAGGTCTGTTACAATACATGGTCCTACCAAAAATACAAAAAAAAAATGCTTATAAGTTATAAATAGTATTAAACTTGATACTCATGACTCATTAAGTTTGAAGTAAAAATGTGTATATTATATATTAAATAGGTTTTGGATTCTAATATTACATTTATTATTCAAAAACATAAAACCTTTTATAATTTTAAATGCGTTTATATTTATATTATTTCATCATTTAACATCATTATATTTCCCACTTATCAATATATACTGTAGAATTCAAGATTCTTGTAAATCTCATAGTATAAGTCGTAACAGTATACTGAAAAAGTCATATAATATTATGCTTTGTCAAAAATCATTTCTAGAAAATGGTTTAGTCAGACATCACATGAAAACTGTTTCTCTCCCATGTACGAGTTCATTTGTGTTTAGCAGTTAAGTCAAATCGCTTTTTTGACTTTTGAGAGAATTACATAAGATAGATACATATTGTAAAAGCTTTTCTCCTATATTGTAAATTTACTATTTTGTAAAAAAATGCTTTTCCCAATGATGACATGAAAACAATTTATTTTTGAGTTAACCATTTCAATTCTATTTTGTTAATATTTTAACATAATTTTATATTTTATACTATAAAATATGTAAAAGGTAATATAAAACACTGATAGAAGTGTATATTTTTTGCTATTGAATATTAAGGTGTCAACTTACAATTTGTTTTTAAATGATTTTCATTATTTTGTTAATTAAAAACATATTAATTATAAATTATACTACAGAAATTGCATTTTAAGGTTATTATTTATAATTTTAGATTTCGTCTTAATATTATTATTTACATTTATTGTTCATACAATTTGTTATACTCCTCCGATAAACAACTTAAACATTTAGATCTAGAACAAAATTATCATAATTCATTGTTATATAACAGTTTTTAAATATCACTATAATACCTACTAAAAACTTTTTGATTTTACTTGAAGTGTGTACTGGCGTGGACGATGTGCCTTGAGGCTTTTACTGAGAGGCTGCAATTCAGTGTCAATTTAGTCTGAGGTTATAGGCTATAATAAATTGATTTAAAACATTGAGTCAAGTTAATTGTTATTACTACCTGTTTATTTCACTATCGAAACCCGACTACTGGATTATGCAAAGAATAATATTATACTCACCCGTTATCAAAGTCCCTGTGTTATGTTAACATTATCAAATTCACTGAGTGCAATACAAATTACGAGTCAGTAATCTGTAAATCATTTAAGTACCAAAGCGTTTATGTTGTGAAAAAAAAATTTGGATGAATATTCATTTGTCAGCAATAATAATATATGTTGAAACTATTAATGTACCACCAGCCGATTCACACACACACACACACATACACAATCACCATCTGTTAATGTAATTATTGTTTTATTTATGTTTGCATTTAAATGTGTCCAGTGAATTATACCTATATTCTTAATATATAGATTAGCAGCGCACTGTCACACGTCACCGGCTCTACGATTATGATTTAGCACGGCCCTCGCAATTAATTATATTTTAGTCCTTTCAGTATTGTCAAAGCGAAAACGTGATCCTCACGGGCGCTAATCCCCGATAGTTGAATTGTATTACATTATATTCGCTGTGTTTTAAAAATGTTTTCTTTTTATATCTATAGTAATAATTATACGGTTCTAATAATAATCTAAAATATCAGTTTATTATAGATACCGACTAAAATATCTTCTAAATACAGACTCTTATACAATTTAATGGGCCACACTATAAGCTAAATTGAACAGTTTGAGTATTACGAATCATATAAACATGGAAACTTATGTTATTTCATAAATTATAGTTCAACTATGCCCATGTACAATGGTCTACAAATAACAGTTTTCAGCACGTTTCCATTGATTTTGTACGTCCGTAGCAACGGGACCAACAGTATACAATTTACGACCCAGTATGGTTGTATACTACAAATGTTTATTTGGTCGTAGTATTTTCGTTTTAGTTACTTCGTCGTAGTAATTAGTGTAAAACAGTTTAAATATGTTACGCGTCAAAGAACTGCAGAATGAATTGACTGAGTCCCGAGTACAGATACATGTAAGTCCAAAAGATAAATTAATACCTCATAAATAAAATCTCTATACTTAAATTAAAATTTTGGTTAAGAGTTTGATGAGTGAAAATCGAATTTTGAAAATGATGGAGAAACGGCAAGAGAGCGCACTATCTAAATACGAGGGCACACACGCTAAACTACCCCAAGTGATTAAGTCGTACAGCGAGGACATTCGTTCACTTCAAGCTCGTATACAGTATATGAAAAACTCATACAGGCATCTGGAGAATAGAAACCGATTGATAAGTACCAAGCTATTGGATGTTCAAAAACAAAACAAACACTTGTTGGACTTGGACAAGAATAAGCAGCTCGGTGAGAGAGAAAAATTGTCCAATCAGCTTGAAGAAGCGGAGAACATTATTAAACAACAGGAGACAAAAATTCAGGTACATAAACATGAAGCAATATAATTATAATACAAATCATAGGTATTTCAGTATAGATTTTGTATATAATTGTCATCTTAGAACTTAAAAAAACAAATTGAAGGTCTAAATAAAAATCACAAAAACCAAATGAACGTAGAGATAAACAAAACTAAAGCTCTGCAATTAGAAATAAACCACTTAAAGGAAAAAAATGACCAACTAGTATCGAAAATTGAAAAACTCAAATACCAGAGTTATGGCGGAAGACGAAGCTACAATGGACTAAACCAAAATATTGCACCGCAATCCAGGTCAGTTAATTTTTAGATTGATTTTTATTTCATAAACTTATTGTACTTACTTGATCTTTATGGTGAACCTGGTTAGGTCTACGGTAATGTCTAAGAACTCATTATTAGTTGACGTCATTGGCGTTGTCGTTGATCGAATGGCGTCAACGGAAACTCCCAGGAAGACGGTAAAGCCTGAATTGGTTCACTGCGAGTCCGAGATCAGTGATCACACCAAAGACCTTCAAAAGAATCTAATGAGGCAGGTACACGAGGATGTGATCAATAAACCAAACATGTTGGTAAACGATAAAATGGAATCATCCAACTCACGCGGTGATTCGAAAGATTTGAATATTGGAATTTCTGAACTGATGAAGGTCATACTATTTTTATATCAGCATTTATGTACTATTTATTTAATTAGTAAACATAATTTTTACTTTAGAATAAAGATTTATCAGACGAATGCGACTTAAGTAGTATGCAGCAGATTGAACCCAATGTGCCTGTAAATCCTTTTTCATTGTCCAACATTCATGGGACTAAATCGACCAAGGAACATCAATCGGTAACAAACTTGAAAAGCAACGATGAAGAATTAATGAATGCCGAAGAAGTTAACGTACAGAAAAACAATTCATCTTCAGACGATGATGATACGATGAGCAGTACATCATCTGTTAGTGATACTGATTAATAGATATATCCATGTTTAATTTCAGTTTTATAGATTTTGAACAAAAAAAGGGAATGTATTGCCGTAATATTTTTATAACATTATATTAATTCAGTTAATCCATTTTGGTTATATAGCACGTAAATGAAAAATTTATAATCCTAGACATGCAGATAGGTAAATATTTAATTTGAGGTATTAGGTTATTAAGGTCATAAGATAAATTTAAAAACTTTTATTTTTATACCACAGAAACAAATTTGCTGATTTAATTAAGTGTTACAACTATAACATTAAATTTGTTTAAACAGATATTTGACAATCAACATTAACAATGGCATTATAATCTAGTAAAGGATTGGTTGATAGTCAACAATTATTCTTATAAATATTGGATTTTGAATTTCTGTGAAATTGTCACTGTTAGGAATAATTAATATTTTTTTAAAACAAACTTTTCAAGTACTAAAAAATAAAAATTAAATAAAAAACTTCTATGTGACCAACAATTTTAAACTGAAAAGAAATATAAATCCTTACCTAATTAAAATTCAAACAATTTAAAAACTTACTTTATTAACATACCTATTGTTTTTATTAAAACGTTGAAAGCTGTACAATGTTAAATTTACAGATTTCCCAGTATCAACCACTTTGAATACACTTGGGGAAATTGGTGCTTTTATTTTTATAACCTACAAAATTACAAGTGCAGTTTTATGAATAAGATTTTTGTAGCTCTTTTTACTACTTTTTATAAATGCCGAATGAATGAGTTTTTTGAGAGCCAATTTTGTAATTTTTAGATTTCTTTTGTTATTTCAGTTTTGGTAACAAGTCTCTTTAGATAAAAAATATAAAATATTTGAATCCAAAATAACAAATAAATTCACCATTTTATTAAAAATATGACATCTCTATTGTAACTTTAATCATCATTGTCTGTAATATTGTTTGTGTTTAATAGTGTTTATACTTAAAAAAAATAAAATATTCAAGTTCTTCAAACATGGACAATTTAATTGCACAAAATCATGATGAAACTATCCTTTTATTTATGATTTAATTTATTGTATACAATAATATTTCACCATTCAGTGTCAAAGTGAGCTAACTAGCGAAGTGTTACTAATATCCACAAAGGTCTAAGTGCACTCAGTTAATTCTTTAATTTTTTTTTTTCAGTTGGTACTTTTGTTTCAATATTAATTTCTAAATTGAAGTTCCAGTTGGAATGTAGTATCTTAGAATTATTTTAATTAATAATAATTGAGTATAGGTATCCATTATAAAAAATTCTAAATGATATGCATATTCCGTTTCTAATTTATTTTTCATCTGTCAGAAAAGAATAATTTGAATAAAATTCTGGAAATATTACAGTGATCACTAACTTTTTTAAAAAAATTTCAAAATTTGACCAATAAAAATGTATTTAATTCTAATTTCTTGGAAAAGAAGCTAAGCTATATCAAACCATATTTAAGGTTTAATAGGTAAATAATATTAATTCAAATAATAACTGTTTAATAATATTTAATCGTTTAAAACAAGAACACGAACCACCCAAAAATAAAATTTTTTAGATTTGTGTAATAAACCATATTATTGATTTCCTCCACACCAGGCCACGGGGATAAATTATGAATAGGTATGCTTGATATAATAAGTGATTTTCGGTAACAAAAAAAAATTAATAAATAATAAAAAAGATGTATGCATTTTAGGAATGAAAAAAATGTTTCTATGGATTGTCTACAAAACATAATTTCATATCTCTTAAGAACAAATTAAATATTACTACGAAATGTGAGCATTTTTTTACCTATGGTAGAACGCAAAACATTAGTATACCTATTATACAAGTATTATACATTAGTATACTTTTACTATACTAATATAGTAATATGTATAGTTAGGTATTAAACAAAACGGTGGCATACTGCATATTGGGAAATTGCCCAACAATTTCGAGTATTAGTTATATCCACTATTAAATTAGGTAGTATCTAATATAAGCAACTGTATCTAATATGATATACTAGTGACGAAAGTCGTTAGGGATATAAATAAGGCTATTTTAGATATTTTAATAATATAATTATTAACAGGAAAGACTAACGTATATTTTTGAATGTGTAACAAAAGCACAAACAATTTGTTTTATTGAACGTGGGAATATAATATAGTAACGTAGGTGGGAAAATTGATAATTATAGTCAAATTTAACCATTATGATATAGGTATTTGGTATAGCTACATAAATCTTATAAGACAGGCAAACTTTCATGATTTATTTATATCTTTTTTTTACATAATTGTATTATAATTAATTTTGTCCGCTTAATATATCAATGCCTGTTACACGGTGGCTATAATACGTGGGATGTTTGGCCATGTGACTTTCACTATAGATTGTGACAGTATGACAAGTTAGGGTTAAAGTTACTGGTTTTATATAAATGGCTTTTAAATGTATGCAATTATATTGTAACGTCCGTCAAATGATACTAAAATCTACTAAGAACCTATTTATCCTGTACCTATGTCATTATCAAAATTGGTATTAGTCTAGTGTATAAATTAAATATACAGCACAGGTAATGTTTATAATTAGTTTTCGCAGTGTATTTTTTCATCAAAACGTTCGTGCAAGAACATTTTTTGTAATAATTTTTAATTAAAACTACCGAACGTAAAATACACGCAGGGCCACCCAAATCATTTTTCAGGCGTTTTGAGATAAGAGTCGAGAAGAATAATATTATCATTTAGTCCGAAATTGTATGAAATAATGATCCTTTACAAAACAATAATGTGCAGTTCATCCGTCCTTCAAATATGAATTTTAAAAATATATCTTTTGGAAAAAACGGCCGTGCCTTAAGTTTAAGTATTCTTTTTACGATATTTTTAGAATATGTATGTGGGAACAGAGAGAATTGGAAAAAAAATGTTTCCTATAAATCTATTAATGTTTTATTACCAGGATAAGCCAAAATGAGAATGATTTTTTTGCCAACAAAATTTGCTCGATATTTCGTAAAAAGAAAATTAAAAAATATGATATTTTGGGGCTGTTAAGAATGGAGAAGTATAGTTCTTGAAAGTGAATAAGATGTGCACAAATTCTGAAAATGTTAAATAATATAGACTCACACCAATGTAGTACCCGTTTTTAGCAAATAGACAATAATATTGGAAGATAAATCTTTTCTTGTTGTAGCGAATAAGAAGGGACTACCTAGTGAGAATTGTTCAGCCACTAACGTTTTATTGAATTTCACTCTTAAGCCGGTTTCGTATAGATCATTACAAATCGTGCACTAATGTAGTTTTTTCAAATAAAAAATATTAAAAATATTCATATCTTTGTACTGAAAAATGGTGAAATACACATTAAATAGAATCAAGTTTGACGAGATGTGTACTTGACGTTACGTCTACCAAACAAATTAAAGCTGTAAGCTGTAATACGCTGACATAATTTACAAATAAAACTTTATTTTTTGGTGTAGTACACGATCGGAGCATTGTGGAATAACTGCAAAACTTTGGTTTGCCCCCGGGCCCCGGTTTCGTGTTCAAACACGCTCATTAAACGGTCGTTTTTTTTCATTTTACCTGACATAAATTGGAAACTTGATTTAGACTCGACAGCCCTTATTGCTTTATGTTGTCCAGGAATCGGTCGTTCACGAGCACGATCAACCCACCACGTTCCGCCAATAGACCACGCCCCAAATAACACAACAAGGGAAAGTCAGACCCTGTTCTCATATTATACACCTGTGCACTCGAACGAACGGAGGAGTGAAAAGTTTTATTCGACAACCACTACTGCAGTTGATCGCTTTTAAACTTGTAGATTTGAAAATATCTTATGAGAGAAGAAAACAACGAAAGTCGGTCACTGCTGACGACCAAAGTACTTAACACAGTGTGCTGTCATATATTTTGACATTCCAAAATAAGTGCTTATAATATTGTGTTCTTCTTATAATTTAAAGTTTAATGATAAACAGGACGGTTTTTAAACTATTCTCAATCCAATTTTTCCTTATAATATAATGTTTATACTAAGGATAATAATCCTTAAAAATGGTTTAAAAAAATAAAAACTACCTATTAATAATGTTAAATCTAAGCTGTAGTATTTATTATTCTTGGATATTTTTTACAAATTATTTTTATTGATAAATCAATAGTAATTGTTAACTTTTTCAAATCGTCTAAGCCAACTCTCTACTTAACCCATTATCATAAGCATATTCTTAAAATACCAAGTTACATAGGTAGCTCAAAAACTACAAACTTGTATTTTGACTTAGATATATCAAAATTCTTAAAAAAATATCTTCTCAATGGTTAAAAAAGCAGGTAAGTGAATGTCACTCTTCTGTACATTAGATTTCTGGAAGGTCACTGAAGGGGATGGTATATTAAATTTGAAGTCAATGATATAACATCATCGTGCACGAAAAACAATTATGAGCGGAGACGGTATGTCAATCTAGGATATTTTATACTGTTATTACTTATTATTTATACGGTAGCCGGTAAGTTAAATTAATATTATAAATAATATTGTTCTTAAATTATCAGTGGTGGCAGAAAAATATTTTAAAAACTTATGTACAATTGGGCTGTTTAGAGCTGAATTACAAAAAAATGACTGAAATTGTTATTTTTGTGTTACTCTGTAATTTCGTTTAAACTTAAAAAAAGCTGTGTTTATTTTTATTTTTGAATTTCACCATTTAATCAGTTTTAAATTGTCTATAATTATCCATACAAATTGAGCATTTAATACATTTTTTTACCACAAAATCGTTTTTCAATTTGAAATGTTGTCAACATATTTTGAACTTTGAATGATTATAAAACAAAAACGTGAATAATATATTGTATATACCTAAACATATTGTATTTTAAATATTTTGCAACTGATATTGTAAAATAATATATTAGGAGCTTTGTATTAACCTAACCGGTTACAACAAATACAATTATATGAAATTTATAGAAAAAAAAAAACTAAAAAATTTGAAAATTAAAAATGTCCGCAAACAGCTAAAAACAAGTCGAAATATTGATTGAAAAGTATATGAATCGATGAAATAAAAATATGGTGTAAATTTAAAGTGTATATTGTTTTTCGTTTTTGAATTATAACAAAATAAGAAAATCGCTACTTGAGAAATCTGGATAATATCCAATATTGTAAAACTTCAAATTATCTTAACATTTTTATTTGACTTTCTAGTAGAAATGTTTTTTTTTTTTTTTTTGACAGAGATAGAGAAACTTATAATAAGGCGTGTATTACATTTTTAAATCTTAGATATAAAAAGAA